GGAAGATATCATTGAAGTGTATAAGTGGATGATGGGCATAAACAAAGGAGATATTAATAAAGTACTGAGGGTGTCGAACCAGGTAAAAACCAGAAATAATGGATTTAAGTTGGATAAATTTAGATTTAGAAAGGACATAGGTAAGTACTGGTTTTCTAACAGAGTTGTAGATGCGTGGAACAATCATCCCAGTGCGGTGATAGAGGCTAGGACCTTGAGTAGAAGAGATTGGACAAATATATGAGTGGGAAGGGCTGGGTTTGATTGGTGTCATTGGGTACGGGAGTTATTTTTTGAGTAGATTTAAGTAGAGGTCGTTTTGAAAAGGCCCTGCCTTGCATGGGCCAGTAGGTCTTCTGCAGTGTTCCTCCATTCTTATGTTTTTATGCTCTTATAAATAAATAATCAATTACCAGAATAGTTGACAAGTAGTGACACTATTAGAACTATCTCTAATAACCAAGTGATGAGGAAATAACCCTTAACATCACGATGACTGAGCGAGCAGCTGCAAATAAAGTCTGTTACACACAAACTAGGTTACAATCAGAGGAAAGCAGTGCGCCTGGTAGTCCGAGGCACGAAGTGTTGATCACTATAGTGCCGCACAGTCAAGTCAGGATGATTGCCCAGGGGAGCTCTTGATTTAATGTTATGCTACTACCATCACTTCTTATTACAGTGATCTCATCTTATTGCCACCAGGGAGGGTTCTCTCATCTTACTGCCACCAGGGAGGGTCCTCTCATCTTCCTACCACCGGGGAGGGTCCTCTCGTCTTCCTGCCCCGGGGAGGGTCCTCTCATCTTCCTACCACGAGGGAGGGTCCTCTTATCCCACTACCACCAGGGAGGGTCCTCTCATCTCACTGCCACCGAGGAGGGTCCTCTCATCTTCCTGCCACCGGGGAGGGTTCTCTCATCTTCCTGCCACCGAGGAGGGTCCTCTCATCTTCCTGCCACCAGGGAGGGTCCTCTCATCTTCCTGCCACCAGGGAGGATCCTCTCATTCCTGCCATCTGGGAGGGTCCTCTCATCTCACTGCCACCAGGGAGGGTCCTCTCATCTTCCTACCACCAGGGAGGGTCCTCTCATCTCACTGCCACCAGGGAGGGTCCTCTCATCTCACTGCCACCAGGGAGGGTCCTCTCATCTCACTGCCACCAGCGAGGGTCCTCTCATCTTCCTGCCACCAGGGAGGATCCTCTCATCTTCCTGCCACCAGGGAGGGTCCTCTCATCTCACTGCCACCTGGAAGGGTCCTCTCATCCTCCTACCACCAGGGAGGGTCCTCTCATCTTCCTACCACCAGGGAGGGTCCTCTCATCTCACTGCCACCAGGGAGGGTCCTCTCATCTCACTGCCACCAGGGAGGGCCCTCTCACATTCCTGCCACCAGGGAGGGTCCTCTCATCTCACTGCCACCAGGGAGGGTCCTCTCATCTCACTGCCACCAGGGAGGGCTCTCCATTCCTCCCACCGGAGGTCCCTCACAGTCTGCCACCGGGGAGGGTCCTCTCATTCCTCCACCGGAGCTTCTGATCTTCCTGCCACCAGGAAAGACCTCTCATCTTCTTGCCACCAGGAAGGACCTCTCATCTTCCTGCCACCAGGAAGGACCTTCTCATCTTCCTGCCACCAGGAAGGGTCCTCTCACATTCCTGCCACCAGGAAGGACCTTCTCATCTTCCTGCCACCAGGAAGGACCTTCTCATCTTCCTGCCACCAGGAAGGACCTTCTCATCTTCCTGCCACCAGGAAGGACCTTCTCATCTTCCTGCCACCAGGAAGGACCTCTCATCTTCCTGCCACCAGGAAGGACCTTCTCATCTTCCTGCCACCAGGAAGGACCTTCTCATCTTCCTGCCACCAGGAAGGACCTTCTCATCTTCCTGCCACCAGGAAGGACCTTCTCATCTTTCTGCCACCAGGAAGGACCTTCTCATCTTTCTGCCACCAGGAAGAACCTTCTCATCTTCCTGCCACCAGGAAGGACCTTCTCATCTTCCTGCCACCAGGAAGGACCTTCTCATCTTCCTGCCACCAGGAAGGACCTTCTCATCTTCCTGCCACCAGGAAGGACCTTCTCATCTTCCTGCCACCAGGAAGGACCTTCTCATCTTCTGCCACCAGGAAGGACCTTCTCATCTTCTGCCACCAGGAAGGACCCTCTCATCTTCCTGCCACCAGGAAGGACCCTCTCATCTTCCTGCCACCAGGAAGGACCCTCTCATCTTCCTGCCACCAGGAAGGACCTTCTCATCTTCCTGCCACCAGGAAGGACCTTCTCATCTTCCTGCCACCAGGAAGGACCTTCTCGTCTTCCTGCCACCAGGAAGGACCTTCTCATCTTCCTGCCACCAGGAAGGACCTTCTCATCTTCCTGCCACCAGGAAGGACCTTCTCATCTTCCTGCCACCAGGAAGGACTTTCTCATCTTCCTGCCACCAGAAAGGACCTTCTCATCTTCCTGCCACCAGGAAGGACCTTCTCATCTTCCTGCCACCAGGAAGGACCTTCTCATCTTCCTGCCACCAGGAAGGACCCTCTCATCTTCCTGCCACCAGGAAGGACCTTCTCATCTTCCTGCCACAAGGAAGGACCCTCTCATCTTCCTGCCACCAGGAAGGACCCTCTCATCTTCCTGCCACCGCTCCTATCACTACAAGAAAAGGCATCTCTTTGCCACCTGGAACGCTGAATATTTTCCACATCAGGAACGCAATTTTCTGCAACCGGGAACTCGTCTTTCTGCTGTCTGGAACATATTTTACAGAATGTGTGAGTAAGAACTTTCTCTCAGTTGTGTCGTGGTGGTCTTATGTTAACCTGCCTTTCTACCCACGTTTTTATATCTTTCTCTTACTGCAAAGATACCATTCATTTCTTTATTAAATGGTGTGCCTTGGTGCCGATGAGAGCTCTTAATTCAAGGGAATCGAGCTACGCCTCTCTCGGATCAAATCTGCTTACCTCCTAGTCCACCTACGTTGTATAACTAGCACGAGTTCAGCGCTACCAAAACAATAATAACAGTGAATGCTTTCCACAAGACTAACTGCCTCTCAGCATACATAAGGGGGATTACGAATAGACTCCTGGCTGTCTTCAAAAGGCGCTGGATAGGCACCTGAATTCAGTTTCTGACCAACCGGGCTGTGGCTCATACGTCGGTTTACGTGTGGCCAGCAGTAACAGCCTGAGTGATCAGGCCCTAATCCACCTCGTGGCCTGATCACGGACCGGGATGCGGGGGCGTTGACCCCCTCAACCCCCTCCAGGTATACATGGTGATCATGTTAATTTCACGTAGGATGAAAGCATATTAGAACACAGACGTTACCTGCCAGGGATGACAACTTTTCCCAAGCACTTCACTTCTCGGATGTTTCAAGAGGTACAACGAAGTGTGTTCTACTGTAATTTGCGTTCAGCACAAAATATATAGCATATAATGAAATATCAAGTGCAGCGGACACTTTTCAACAGACCGACAGAAATGCACATCGAGACTGAAATACAATGTAACGAAAAAATGGACTGAGTTACCATCTCCGTCGGAGATCATCTTCCAAGCGCTTTCGTGTTTTCTCACATTATCAAGGCACTGTGTTTGTTCTGCATATTGTGATATCACCTGTTTAATGTGATCCTACTGCATATATATATATATATATATATATATATATATATATATATATATATATATATATATATATATTTATATTCGTCAAGTATAGTTGTTGACTATCTCCTGTTCTATTCTATTTTGAAAATTTCCAAACGTACTGATTTAAAACTGTACATTCTCTTACAGCAAATCAATGACATTCCTATTCTTCTTCATCAGAAAAATTCAACTAGCCGAGATATTCCTATTTCCATCGTCTAGTCATGCTTATGTTGAATGCTACCCTTCAGACTTGTTGCTGAACCTCACTTTACAATATGACTAGTCTCTTTGCAACCTTTCAAGAAGTGAGGTGATGCTTCAAACCCAAGAAGCAATCCCTTCTCAACTTCGGAAAGGAAATGCAAATCCTGAGCGACAGCCTTTTCAAACTTTGGGAAATTAGGAGATACTTCAAATTCAGTGAAGTCCTTTTCACCTTCGGGAAGTCATGGCTATAATGTAAGAAACTATGTAGCCCCTTCCAACTCTGGGATGCACTGTCTCAGCTCAACTGACGTACTTCTCTCGCCATCACAGATCAAGATCCTATCAGCATCACGTAGGTTTTGGCAATCCACACACGAGGCTGGCAATAACATATACTTTCAATTTCCAATCTAGAACCTGTTGAGGTCTTAAGTCTTGTTTCTCTAGCACTGTTCAAGATCTTACGACACTTACACGACATTGACATGATAACCTGACACCCATAAAATAAAAGATAAGTGACACCAATTAGACGCCACATACGAGATTGATATATAACAATGATACTGATAAGACGACAGACTTGACTAATACTGATGACTGGCAGGGATAACACAACACAGACGTATATGACAGATAAGCTGACAGACATAAGTGACACTTATAAGACGACACAAACATGGTAAATGACACTGATAAGATATACATGAATGACACTCAATTTAAAACGACACAGACATGATGATTGGCCCTGATTACAGGACACAGATGTAATGATTAACACTCGGGTTAACAGACACGATTGACACTTTAGTTAAACATGATGAACACTTAAGAGAGCTGTCACTCGCAACATACTATCAAGACACTTTGAGTGCTACACTCTCTGCTTGTGTTGTCTAAACCCCCACGGTAGTTAGGCTTCATTCACTTTAACACCAATTTCAACCTGTTTTTTCCATTCTTAGTTGACTGCTTTTCTAATATAATTTTCCATAAGAGGGGCTAGAGTCTAGAACCGTGCACTGAGATCATTACTCACTCCAGGGAAGTGTTCAACTGAACAAACAGTACCAATAGGAGCCAATATATTGCCGTAACACTGCGTAACTGCGACTTACTCCACGTTCACCCCAGTTGGGGGAAGAGTCGGGCACTGGGGCACTGATGGGGGAGGGGAGGTTAAGGGGAGACAGTGTGTGGGGGGGACGAGTTTAACCCGTGGCGGGGGTGAGACAGACGACACTGTGATAGTGGGAAGGTGCAAGCCGCCGGCACCTGGCTGCCACGGGGCCCGCACGCTGACTGCCTCCCTCTCCCTGCCTCACCCGGGCGGCGGCTGGTGGCGGCGGAGGCGGCGGTGGTGGTGGTGATGCTGGTCACACACTCACGGCGGAGGCTTAGATGACGGAGTAAAATGGCAAAGGCAGCAAGGGAACGGAGCCTAACAATACTAAAACTAGGCACTCGTTCAACATTCTGGATACTACCATAGTCATACCCTCACGCAGACACCAGGAGAAACAACCAAGCAAGAAGACATATACACACACCGGGGCCAGGAGCTATGAATCGACCCCTACAACCACACGTAGATCAGTACACACACACACACACACACACACACACACACAGTGGCGGAGGTAAACAAAATATACACCTCTGGAGGCCTGATCATAGGCCAGGCCCCTGGGCGTTGACCCCCGAACCTCTAGGCAGATACTACGCAACAGGTCAAGTGTCTATCAACAAGTTCCTTTGCTACTAAATCAGAAACAGTCATATTAAATGAAAATATTCCATATCTGATTCATGATATACCTGTGATCGGTGTTAGTGTCTTCCTGCTCTCGCACATCCATTAAAAACTTCATCAACGAGTACAACACACAGATTCGGCTACAATCTCTGTTGATTCCCCGGCGGATACAAAGTCTATTCACGATTCTAAAAGGTGAAAACTCAGAATACGACTTTAAAACTACACAGTCAGCCGTAGCAACACTACAAGTGACACAAACAGAAGCACGATGCCCAGCATCGTCATGGTGATGATTTCTCAAATATTCACGTCCTGCTGAATGCCGCCAACTTGCTGCTGCTCTGTAAGGCCCATCGAGCCTGAAACTGCGTTGCAGAAGTCAGTACAGATCACACTAGATACAGCAGTGTCCACTTCAGCATCCGCCCATTCACTGTCTGGCCACGACAGTAGGAAAAAACTTCAAACACGTCACAGGTAAGAAAAAAAAAATCTTGAGCCAAGTATAGCAACAGGTTAGGTTTGGTAAGATTTGTCAAAAAACACCACATGTGTTTCCTGGCGCAGGCGAGTCATTCATGGATCTTCATGACCAAAGGTAAATACAAGAGGAGCCCACTCTCTCACCACCAGTGATGATAGTGCAGATTTAGAAGTTTCTTGCTTATTTTCGGCCACCAGACGTTTTCCCGAAGGACAGGGTAGCTACAAATTCTTTGAATCAAGAGTCCTTTCCCTTGAAAGATGCTTCTGCGCTACAGCTGACAGTCATACAGGTTAGTACAAACTGGAAGCATTCAAGCCTCCACCACATCTTGCACTGAACGATCCACATTAATTAAACACACTGATAATCAGGACGAGAGCAGCCAGAATGGCACGATAAGCTTTATGGTAAATGTCTCCATTTAGATTTGCTTAGGTTTATTTAGGTTAGTTTGTCCTATAGCAATAAAATTAACCAACCATAACATACCATAACGGCAATAATTGAAACCATGATAAACGCAATAAAAAAAAAGCTCTGACCTGCGAACACAGAACTGGGAGCAACCGAGCACACTATAAAATTCCAAGTCAAGTAATCACTGTTCAAAACTCTCATTAAACAGTCACCAATTTAACTGTCATGACGATACTGGTATAGTTTGTTGCTGAGAGAACTGACTGCATGAACACAACGTACGAGTAGCAACTCCCTCGCATTACATGTCCTAATTCTTGATCACTGCCACACCTATACCTAGTTCTTCCATCCACACCCATACCAAGATCCTCCACCCATACCCATACCTAATTCCTCCACCCACAGCCATACCAAGATCCTCCACCCATACCCATACCTAATTCCTCCACCCACAGCCATACCTAGTTCCTCCATCTACACCCATACCTAGTTCTTCCACCCACATCCATACCTAGTTCTTCCGCCCACAACTATACCTAGATCCTCCACCCATACCCATACCTAATTCCTCCACCCACAGCCATACCTAGATCCTCCCCCCATACTCATACCTAGTTCCTCCACCCACACCCATACCTAGTTCCTCCACCTACACCCATACCTAGATCTTCCACCCACAATACCTAGTTCTTCCACCCACATCCATACCTAGTTCTTCCGCCCACAACTATACCTAGTCCCTCCACCCACACCCATAACTAGTTCCTCCACCCACACCCATACCTAGTTCCTCCACCCACACCCATACCTAGTTCCTCCACCCACACCCATACCTAGTTCCTCCACCCACATCCATACTTAGTTCTTCCACCCACACCCATACCTAGTTCCTACACCCACAACCATACCCATACCTAGTTCTTCCACCCACACCCATACCTAGTTCCTGCACCCACACCTATATTTAGTTCCTGCACCCACACCTATACTTAGTTCCTACACCCATACCTAGTTCCTCCACCCACACCCATACCTAGTTCTTCCACCCACACCCATACCTAGTTCTTCCACCCACACCCATACCTAGTTCCTACACCCACACCCATACCTAGTTCCTACACCCACACCCATACCTAGTTCCTCCACCCACACCCATACATAGTTCTTCCACCCACACCTATACCTAGTTCTTCCACCCACACCCGTGTCATGTGGGTTTTCGATACGTGGATGGGTAAAAATACTCATGTAGGCTGGTAGTACGTATAATATATAACGGGAAGTATGGGAAGCGCCAACAGCCGACCTGTCTCTCTCTGCTGGCTAACTACGACTGACTCAGTGCCTACAGGTGAGGGTGTTTGAAATCCTGCTATGGTCAGCAGCAATATGAATACAGTCAATGATTCACACAGACGGTTGGTAGTGAGTCATCTACTGGTACACTGGTTACTGGTAACTGGTTACTAGGAACTGGTACTACTACTGAGAGCTCGGCGACGCTAACGTATGTCGTCCCGACATACAACTAATACAAACTAGAGACGGCAGGTGTACGGCTTGGGCTGATTCTATACAATGTCAAATTACACAACAATTGAACATTATAACATACACAAGTAGAATATTGGAATGAAGCTTACATAATTGAAACTGTAATAAAACTGTAATGCAATACAAGGTATAATATAGCACAACTCATCGAATGAAACTCAACGTTGAGATTACACAATAGAAGTGATAAAAAAAAATTTGATCGATCGATCTGTATTCATGTGATCTATGGATTCTGAGGAAGAGTTTAACAGAAAGGCAGATTCGGTGCACTCAAATCTAGATTGTTAACTCTCAGAATTCGGAGAGAACGTGAACACAAAAAAAAATTCTTGAATACTGATAAGTTGATACTGTAATTATTCATCTATACAGGTTATTTACATTTAACCCCAACTCTACTAGGGTGAGATTGATATATGCAGAATGGGTGTCATCTCTGGGAGGATTTCAAACACCCCCTCACCCATAGGCACTGTGAGTCAGTCAAGATAGGGAGCAGAGAGAGGCAGGTCGGCTGTTGGTGCCTTCCCATACTTTCCGTTATATTATACGTACTACCAGCCTACGTGAGTATTCTTATCCCATCCACGTTATCGAAACCCACATGACACCCGTGCCTAGTTCTTCCACCCATATCCATGCCTAGTTCTTCCACCCACACCCATACCTAGTTCTTCCACCCACAGTCATGCCTAGTTCCTCTGCCCACACCCATACCTAGTTCTTCCACCCACACCAATACCTAGTTCTTCCACCCACACCCATGCCTAGTTCTTCCACCCACACCCATGCCTAGTTCTTCCACCCACACCCATGCCTAGTTCTTCCACCCACACCTAGTTCTTCCACCCACACCCATACCTAGTTCTTCCAACCACATCTATACCTAGTTCTTCCACCCATCAGACATCTCATAACTTGAAGCAAGAACCGAATCATGCTCGGGGAAGCTGGTCAAGCTCATTAAGGGAACCACTCACTGATGCCTCTCCAACTACCACTTACAGAGACATAGTACCTCAGGTACCATCCAGGGTGGATGGTAAACAACACGACCACCCTGACCGACCACACAACCCACAATACAGGAGGCGAGGCCAACAGAGATGTGTCGAGTTAACAGGGAAAGGAAGGAGGCAAAAGGTGAAGGAAGGAGGCAACAGGTGAAGGAAGGAGGCAACAGGCGAAGGAGACAACAGCAGAGGTGAAGTAGGCAACAGGTGGTAAAGAAGCAACAGTCATGCTATAGGCAACAGGTGAAGAAAAGAGGCAACAGGTGGTAAAGAAGCAACATTCATGCTATAGACAACAGGTTAAGGCAACAGGCGAGAGGCAACAGGTTGCAAAGAAGTAACAGTCATGCTATAGGCAACTGCCGAAGAAAAAAAGCAACAGGTGGTAAAGAAGTAACCGTGAAGCCATAGGCAACAGGTGGTGGAGCAGGAGGCAACAGGTAGTGGAGTGGGAAGGGGACGGGGGTGTAAGGCAACAAGTAGTAGAGCAGTAGGGAAAAGGTGGAGCGGAGGGGGGGGAGGACGCAGCAACAGGTGGAGCGGGAGGGATAAGGTCTCAGGTGGGGAAGTAGGAGAAAGAGTCAACAGGTGGTGGAGTGGGGGGAGGGAAGAAGGTAATAGGTGGAGCAAGGGTGAAGTCATAGGTGGACCGGGAGGTGGTTAGATGCAATAGGTGGTGAAATTAAAAGCAGAGGCAATAGGGAGTGAAATAAGAGGCAGAAGGTGGTGGAACAAGAGGCAGCAGGTGGTGGAACAAGAGGAAGCAGGTGGTAGAACAAGAGTCAGCAGGTGGTAGAACAGGAGGCAGCAGGTGGTAGAACAAGAGACAGCAGGTGGTAGAACAAGAGACAGCAGGTGGTAGAACAGGAGGCAGCAGGTGGTAGAACAAGAGACAGCAGGTGGTAGAACAAGAGACAGCAGGTGGTAGAACAAGAGACAGCAGGTGGTAGAACAAGAGACAGCAGGTGGTAGAACAGGAGTCAGCAGGTGGTAGAACAGGAGGCAGCAGGTGGTAGAACAAGAGACAGCAGGTGGTAGAACAAGAGA